GTCCTATCATTACGGCCCCGTCCGTCAGAGCTGCATCTTTGAACCACCGACCGGTTGTCCCCTTCCCCCATGCCCGTCCTCCCCACCCTCGTCGTCGTGGTCCTGCTCCTCCTGCGGGCAATACTTTTGTCCATATCCACTGCAGTACAGAGTATTGGGCTCCCTTCCCCAGAAACCCGAGGCGCACTGGATATGAATGAATTTGCCCCCTACAGGCTCGACTTTTGTCAGTATCCAGGGCGCCTCGGCCGTGTGGCGCCCCTTCCAGAAAAGTTCAAGACGCACTGGGTATGGAGATAAACCTTGCCAGCACCTCCTCCTCCCCTGACATCTTCTCGCTACGAGAAATCGGTTTGTCCATTTCCGCCCTCCGGGGGTCCTCACCTGGCCCCAGGACCGACGAAGAACGACTCGGGAAGGACGGCAGGTCCCCGGGAAGGGGTCCAGACCTCTGGACTTTGGGGAGCCACGCTGGGACAACAAGCACGACGTCGGGTGTCTGGATTCTCGTCACGCTCCTCATCCTCCTCATCCTCGTTCCCTCCTGCTCATCTTCCTCCTCCTCCTCCTCCCTTCTCCTCCCTCCTGCTCCTCCCTCCCTCCCTCCTCCTAGTCATCCCTTCCCCCCCTCCACTCCGTCCGTCTCTCCCTCCCTCCCACCTTCTCTCCCTCCCTCTTCCTCCACATCATGTTCGACATCCGTCCCAGGGGGAGGGGAGGAGCCACAAGGGCAACGCTCTGGCACTGACCGACCCCCCCTCTTGGGCGTATCTCAAGGTGGGTTCTTGAGTTTCGTTTCAGAGGGACATGATTTAGCTGTTGCCAAGCTCCGCTGGCGCGTTCAGGCGGTCTGCGAGGCGGACTGGGCGCCCATGGCTTCCATGCAAGTGGTGGCACTCATGTGGATTCCCCGCCGTCCTCGTGGCCCACGAAGCAAACACATGCCGCTACAGCCGGGTTGGTTTCAGGTGGCGGTGGAGAGGCGAACCCGGGAATCACCATCATCGTCCGTTGTTCTCAGGTGGTCTCACGTTTCGTTCTGTCACGTTCGTTGGCGTATCGATTGCTGGAAATATGGAGAATGGAATCATTGCCTCCAGTGTCCGCCTGCCATTTCTTTTCCACAGCTGTCGCGGGGGTGGTGCTACTAGTGTACTTCGTCATGCTCTACGCGGTCGGGCACATCTCGCTCACGAAATCCGTGGCGGTGAGGGAGGACAGGTTTTTATTTGAACGACTACGTCGTATAGCCTGTTCCTGTTCCTTTTCCTCGCTCGGCAGTGCCTCGTAGGCGGGCCCGCCTCCGCCGACAGCACGAGGGGCCGCTGGGCGCCACTCCAGCGCAGGGTTCCAGTCGCAACGCCGGATCTCAGGGGAGGAGGAGGCGGAGGAGTAGGAGGAGGAGGCGGAGGAGGAGGAGGAGGAGGAGGAGGGGGAGCAGGGGCAGGAGGGAGGGATGAGAAAGGAGGGTTGAGTTGGGAAGAGAAGAGGAGGAGGTGGTGGAGGAGGAGGAGGAGGACAGGGACCAGGACAGGGACGAGGACAGAGGCGGGGATGATGAGGAGCAGAAAGAGGTGGAGCACGGCTCCACACACACATAGGCTTCCATATTCGTTGAACGAGTGAGCTGTCTGGGGGCCTTCGTTCCAGCATCATGTGATGCGTCTGCGGGCAATCGTGCACGGCCTGTGTTGCACCACATATTGATCTAGAACGGGTGGCATATGCGAAGTTCATTCGTGTGGCAATTGTGCACACGCCAAATGTTGTGCCATCTAAAGACGACCCAAGGGGCGAATCACCAGACCAAGACGGCTCACGGTCCCAAGGCAACCCCCATTGACGCCCAAGAGTCAGGAGGGAATAATCAGCAGAAGCACAAATAATCGCTGATTTCGGTGAGGATGGGGATAAAGCTTGGACATGGAGGGGATGTGGATAATCAATGAACTATGCACAAATATCGGACACCCTGGGATTCGTGACGATTTACGTGTGTCCTCGTGCCCCCCTTGAAGAGGCGGAACTCGTTGATGTTCCTCAGGTGTTTGCTGTATGAGCTTTGCACGCTCGCTCTCTCGGCCCTCTGAGCGTCCAGGATGGCCTTAATACCGGGAGTTGAGGAGCCGAGAGAGCAGCACGCGGGCGCCGGCTTCCTGCCTGCACATGCATTTGCGCGCGCGGCCGAGGAGCTCGACACGGTGTTCCGCACGCTGGGACTTAGGTCGTCGCGTTGACGTTGTTTGTTCGTTTGTCTTGTTCGTTCTCACTCACTGTCTGTGTGTGTGTTTGTCTCTCTCTCTCTCTCTCTCTGTTTGAGGAGGAGGAAGATCTACCGATGTCGCCAGGTTCCCTCGTGCCCGCATTTTTGGCCTCTGGTGAGGCCCTCGTCTCAGTAGACGTTCGTCTCTCTCGCCTCTCTCTCTCTCTCTCCCTCTCTCTGTCTCTCTCTCTCTCTGTCTCCGTATCTTGTACACCCGGGATGTGTTGTCTCGAATATTGCTTGGCGTTGCCCGCTACCAAATTGGGCAGAACACCGCCTTCATATCTCAGTCGTCCTCTATCCGCTCGGTGTTTTGCCCCTTCCCAGTGAATGAATGGAGCAGAGATTGTTCAATTTTCTATATTGCAGTTCGCGACCACTTCCTGACTTCTTTTTTCGCAATGGCGGGCGACGACCCCAGGATAGGCCCAGGCTTGCTCAGAGAGATTCCGAAGTTTACCGAGGCAGCCATCGGAAAGTAGGCACCAAGATCCCCCCGCCGCTATAGCTCAGACGGCAGGAGAAACGGCGAGGCAACGTTAGGGGTGCTAGGCTCAGGGTGCCTGTCGCCGATCTATCGTCGATGTATTGCCGATTCAAGTTCGATGTTCCCCCTCTGAGCTGGCCCCCCTAGGGTTGCCCCTCAGGCCTCAGCGCCCGATACTTCAATTTGATTCTCGGCGATCGGAGTTCGATCCATACCGCTGCTGCTGCTCTGCTCCCCGCACCGGTCGCCAGGGGGACTTTGCATAGATATTTTTGTTCCGGAGGAGGGATGCGACATCGCCACCACCAGGGGGGGGCACCTCCAGCGAGGGGGTTCACGATGGGGGTGTCTCGACCGAGAGGGGGGGGGGCCCACACCACCAGGGGGGACCCCCCCCCGTCTCCTTGAGCGGTGGCGGGGTTTTCGCTTTTCCCTTGGCATCGCTCGGACCTGTGCATTTTTCTCGGCGAGGCCAGCGCCAGAAAGTACTTAGCGTGTTGAAGCATCTCTGCCCATCTTGAGAAAAAACACGCGCGGAACCAAACGATGCGCGGAGAATGGACGATCGAGCGATGGCAAGTTTCTCGTTCCTGAAACGTCGGACTCCAGAGGTCGGATTGGCATCCACGCCCTCACCCCACCCTCATCGCGGAGCTTTGGTCGCGTTGGCAGAGGCAATGTAGAGGATGACGGTTGAGAAATGCCCTGGGGGGGGGGGCGTCACGCAGCAATGCCCGCGGCGATGAGTCATAGATTGGAACGTGGGCTTGCTCGTGGGCGTCGTCGTCATTGAGTGTATCTGGTCGTCCTCTCCAGAAGCTTCCCCAGGGGCGGCAACATGTTTTTCACTCCATCGTCCCCCCCGTGATTTTTAGCCCCGTCCAACAGAATCAAGTGCGTCCACGTTTCGGTCGGTTCCCATGCGTCGTAGCCTTTGGCTCCGGTCGGTTTGGTCTTGTCGGTTGCTGTGCCTTTGCCGCGTCGCCGCGCCCTTCCTTGAGATCCAGCGTCACGGAAAAATGCAACGTCCTAAAAAACTCAACAGAATCCCTGGACTGAATTGTTTTGCTGCGTTTTCCCAATCCGATCGATCCGTGAGGGTCCCAGGGCCCGAAGCGGGGCAAAATCGCTCTTCTGCGAAAAAAATGCGACGCCAGGATCTCCGGATTCTTGCGTCTTGTCTGTTCCGGCCGGTCACGGTTTCGTCGTCGGCTCGGTCGGTTTTCGGTCTTGCTGCGATGCAGCGTCGAGGCGCGCACCTTCGACAGAGCGGCGCGCGCGTGCGGCCTCTCCGCGTGAGAGCCGCCTGGCGGGGCGCGCTCCCAGAGGGGGCGTCGATCCCTGGCATCCTCTCGCTGTGAAAAAACAATCACGACGAAGGGTTGTTGTCCATTCCCGGCCTCTGGGTGGGCCCTCGCCTGGCCTTGGGGCCGTTTAAAAGCAACTTGGGACGATAAGCCAGTCCCACGGAATGGGGTCCAGACTTGGGGAGCCACGTTGTGAAAAAAACACGATGGGGAATGCCAGGGGTCGCAGACTCTGGCAGAGGCCAGGAAGAGTTTCGCGCTGCTTCTGCTGCTGCTGCTGCTGCTGCTCCTGCTCCTGCTCCTGCTCCTGCTCCTGCTCCTGCTGCTCCCGAGACCTCCTCCCGTCGTGGAAGCTCGACGGGAGGTGCTTGCCAATTTTTAGCCTCGCCCCCGTCAAGCAATTAAGTGTTCGGTATTAAAATCCGGTCCAGGGACCAGGTCCACATTGTTGTGAACAAAATCTCGGGTAGGGGGTCTGGGGATGTCGCTGCCCATCCATCTGTTTCGCCTCTCTGGGCTTTCCTGCGGGGGCCCTCGTCCACGGCCGGATTCGCCTTGGACTCCTGGTCAAAAAAATATGTTTTGGGACAGGCCGGCGGAGTATCGACACTCAGCAGTGACCCTTCGCAGGAACGACCTTAGAGGTGCGGGCCCACTGGGATCCCCCCATCGCTGAGTGCGATGCGATCGCAGCGGCTTGCGCGCTTGGGTTTAGCCCCACCGCGCTCCTTTGGAGCTCTGCACTGAAGGTCACTCTTGTGAAGATCACCCATGCGTGTAGCCGAGAGTAGCAGCATCCGTATTCAGACGTCCTCCGGTTCTCCTGCAACTCTCGATGACCCCCTTTGAATTGCCCCACCCGATTCGGGTCCGAATACGGGAACATCGGAGCGCTCTCCCTCTAGCTTGGCCCGCCAGGTCTTCACAGAAGGAGATCCGGGCCATGATAGAGGAAGTGGACGCCGACGACTCAGGCTCCATCGGATGGCAGGAGTTCCTCTTCTTGATGTCTAAGAAGGCCACCCTGCTGCGTCACAGCCTGGGAGCGGTCGTGGAGGGTGTGCCTATATCCGTCTGCCCGCGGCAAACCGCCTCTGTCGTGCCAGCGCAGCATCGACATGCATGGACGGTGGCTGCTAATATTTTCCATAGTCAAGACTATGGAACAATGTCGAAGTTGGGTTCAGGAGTCGCTCTGGTTTTCGGGCCGTTCCCGAGATCTAGGTCGGGGAGCTTATCGTGGCCGAGGCTCGCCGTGGCCAGAGAAGCTCCTGTGTTCCTGCTTCGGCGTTCCTCGCTGTAGCGCGCTGACTGTACGGATGCCTTCGAACAGGCTCAGTAGAACCACCGTGGGGCCGTCTAGGAGGCGGCCATTCGGTGCAGCAGCGCGGAACGACCTCAGCATGGCATGGTTGTTGCATTGCGTCCTGGAGGTTCATCAGAGGTTTACCGGATCCTCTTGTGACGTTCTTTTGGGCCTCTCGGGGCCCTCTGCGAGGGGTTTCTTGGGAAGCGGTTGAGGGCGTTTGGGCGGCCGCCAGGCGTTGCCATCCAGGTCCGAGAATATAATGCATCTCCTCCCGAACATCCAACGGACCTAGCAGCGAGCGTAGTAATCACACGAGTAAATCCGATAGCGTCCCTGTATAGGAACTGTGAGAGCAGTAGTTTTTGTTCCCACATGCTTAGTGGGGTTCTGGTTTTCTTCCCTGCCGCGCCGCACCCGCGTTCACCTTCACCTCCTCCTCCCTCCTCCCCTTCCCACACAGCACAGCACAGCACAGCACTGCTCAGCGCAGCTCAGCAAAGCTCAGCTCAGCTCAGCACAGCACAGCACAGCACAGCTCAGCTCAGCTCAGCACAGCACAGCTCAGCTCAGCTCGGCACAGCACAGCACAGCTCAGCACAGCAGAGCACGCAGGGCTAGCGCGCAGGGCACGGCGGGCGTGACCGCATCGCACCACACACACACACACACCACACGTCGGAGAGCTTGGCAGGCCCCACATGGAGGGGCACGTAGCAGGCGCGGCAGTTTCTCGACACCAGAGGGGGTGCGCAAGGGGGTGGTCTCTCAACGCGGCCGCTATGCGTGCCAGGAACGGAGAGCGTGGCAGGCGTTGTACTTTCTCGACACCATAGGGGGTGCGCAAGGGGTGGTCCCTCACCGCGGCCGCTATGCACGACGGTCGTCCAGGGCATAGCAGGCGTGGCATTTTCTCGACACCATCGGGGGTGCGCAGGGGGTGGTCCCTCAGCGCGGCCGCTATGCACGACGGTCGTCCAGGGCATAGCAGGCGTGGCATCTTCTCGACACCATAGGGGGTGCGAACGGGTTGGTCCCTCAGCACGGCCGCTATGCACGACGGTCGTCCAGGGCATAGCAGTCACGGCATTTTCTCGACACTGTGGGGGATGCGCAGGGGGTGGTCCCTCACCGTGGCCGCTATGCGCGCTGGTCGTCCAGGGCATAGCAAGCGTGGTACTTTCTCGACACCATTGGGGGTGCGCAGGGGGTGGTCCCTCATCGCGGCCGCTATGCACGACGGTCGTCCAGGTCATAGCAGGCGTGGCATTTTCTCGACACCATAGGGGGTGCGCAAGGGGTGGTCCCTCACCGCGGCCGCTATGCACGACGGTCGTCCAGGGCATAGCAGGCGTGGCATTTTCTCGACACCATAGGGGGTGAGGGGGTGGTCCCTCACTCCAGCAGGCGTGGCAGGGGGGTGGGCCCTCCGCTATGCACGACGGTCGTCCAGGGCATAGCAGGCGTGGCATTTTCTCGACACCATTGGGGGTGCGCAGGGGGTGGTCCCTCAGCGCGGCCGCTAAGCACGACGGTCGTCCAGTGCATAGCAGGCGTGGCATTTTCTCGACACCGTGGGGGATGCGCAGGGGGTGGTCCCTCACCGTGGCCGCTATGCGTGCCGGACGTCCAGGGCATAGCAGGCGTGGCACTTTCTCGACACCATTGGGGATGCGCAGGGGGTGGTCCCTCACCGCGGCCGCTATGCACGACGGTCGTCCAGGGCATAGCAGGCGTGGCACTTTCTCGACACCATAGGGGGTGCGCAGGAGGTGGTCCCTCACCGCGGCCGCTATGCACGACGGTCGTCCAGGGCATAGCAGGCGTGGCATCTTCTCGACACCATAGGGGGTGCGCAGGGGGTGGTCCCTCACAGCGGCCGCTATGCGCGCCAGTCGTCCAGGGCATAGCAGGCGTGGCATTTTCTCGACACCATAGGGGGTGCGCAGGGGGTGGTCCCTCACCGCGGCCGCTATGCACGACGGTCTTCCAGTGCATAGCAGGCGTGGCATTTTCTCGACACCGTAGGGGATGCGCAGGAGGTGGTCCCTCACCGCGGCCGCTATGCGCGCTGGTTGTGGAGGGCATAGCAGGCGTGGCACTATCTCGACACCATAGGGGGTGCGCAGGGGATGGTCCCTCACCGCGGCCGCTATGCACGACGGACGTCCAGGGCATAGCAGGCGTGGCACTTTCTCGACACCATAGAGGGTGCGCAGGGGTTGGTCCTTCACCGCGGCCACTATGCACGACGGACGTCCAGGGCATAGCAAGCGTGGCGCTTTCTCGACGCCAGACGGGGTGCGCAGGGGGTGGTCCCTCACCGCGGCCGCGGTGCGCCGGGGTTGCGGTCGCTATCCGTTTCGGCCTTGCAGAGCGTTGGCAGGCGTGGCATTTTCTCGACGCCACAGGGGGTGCGCTGGGGGTACGGTCGCTATCCATTCAGGGCTCGCAAAGCGTGGCAGGCGTGGGAACTCCTTGACGCCGAAGGGAGTGCGCTGGGGGTGCGGTCGCTATCCGTTTCGGGCTCGCAAAGCGTGGCAGGCGTCCCGGCGTCCCTGCCCGTGTCCTGACGTGCGTCGGCAGCCTCGCAGTTCCCGTAACGAAGCTCGCTCGCCTCATACTGCCGTTCCTGGCCTTTGCAATGGCGGGGGCACTGTGTACATGATTTGTTTAAGAAGCTTGCTGTCAGTAATCTGATTATTTCAGAGGCATTCAGCTTACTTCCCAGCTTTCTAAGGTCGTGGAGCGCATCTTCTTGCAATTGTTTGGGCCGCAGCTGGACAGAGGACCAAACAGTAGAGAGGGGAAACGTCCTTCCTTTTTTCGATCTTCGCCGTCTGTTTTACGTTACTGGGATGCGAAAGCGAGGCTCGCAGCCTCGATGCATTGAATTGTCGCACGTATCGAATGTTTTCCATCGATTGTTCCCGTTTCCATTTTTCTCTTCGTTCTTTCAATATTCAGCGGTTCGCAGTGCACATATATGAGTTATAGGCTTATCTTCTTTGCCGCCCGTCCTTTCCTTATTAATTATTTTCAGAGTTGGCTAGACGAATCCATTGTTCATCGCAGTTTTGTTGCGGTTGCTCTCTTGTTATTCGTCCATATGTTGCTAAGCGCGTTTGTTTTTTTAGTGCGGAGTGTCTGGACCTCTATTACTTTCTTGTTGGTATCGTCGTCCGTGTCAGGGTGACTTGAATTCGATTGAATCGCTCACCGGCGAATGAACTTGACTTGCCGGTCAATGTGTAGGAATTCTTATAATTGGCGATCTGAATGTTCACCACTCACATTTGCTTGCTTTCAGCAGCCATGTTTCCCCAGAGGGAGCGTGTTTTGAAGAATGGGTGTTCAGAGCGAGGATTTTAAGAATGTGTACGAGCACCAACTCGCGGCCCTCATTTTTTCGATGTGTTTTTACGTGACGTTCTGGCAATTCGTATTTCAGAAATTTTAACGCCAGTAGCGGATCATAGCGCAAAGTTGTGTTCAGTTTGTATGCCACCGATGTCGCTTCAGCACAGTGATCTTGTTCTGTGGCACTTCAAGAGCGCAGGTTTAGCGCAGCTTGCTAGAGCAGGATTGGGTTTGGATAGACAATTCGACGCCCAATATTGTTGTGGCTTGTGTAATTCAAATGTTGTTATGTTTTATGTAGATTTATTTTGTTTGTCACACGTAGTTTTTGTAGTGTCGCAAATGGGGATAAATCAGCACTATTTCGACGCTGTCCAGACGAAACAACTTGCCGTTGGTACGGATTTTCTATTGCTGCCGTAGCGGTTTGTAGTTCTGCAGTGGTGGAGCTTTTTAAAGCGCATAGAGCGTACCTAGGAAGCTTCGAACATCAGGGCGCGGCAATAACAAGTGGAACATGTCTAATGTGTTGCTGTCGCGTGTTCATAAGCCTTCGTCTTCCCACTGAAGCGTCCGGATGGCTCGTGAGCACTTTCTGTGTCTGCTAAAGCGGATGTCTTTGCACGGGTTTTTGGCAGCAAATGGCGTTTGCCCACCATTGTTCAGAACGAGTTTACCGACGTGTCTATTGCTATAATATTGCCAGGCAGGTGCCCAGCATAATTCGTACCAGGTCCGCTCGTGCTTTTCTCAGCAGCCTCAAGCAAGACAGCGGCACTGGACCTGATCCCTCGTCGACGCCACAAAGGGGGGGCGCTGGGGGCACGGTCGCTATCCGGATCGGGTTCCCCAGGCGTGGCAGGCGCGGTACTTTCTCGATGCCACAGGGGGTGCGCCAGGGGTGCGGTCGCTATCCGTTTCGGCTTCGCAAAGCGTGGCAGGCGTGGCACTTTCTCGACGCCACAAGGAGGTGCCTTGGGGGTGCGGTCGCTATCTTCTTCGGGCTCGCAAAGTGTGGCTGGCGCGGCGTTTCTCCTCTCCACCCCTCGTCATGAGTGGCGACACCAACGGTATCGGCGGGGCAACGGCCACCAACATCATTCTCCACATGCTTCATGTTAGCTATCACCACTCCAGCCATAATATAAGTATGTGGAATTCCTCGGTTGCGTAATTTTCGTGTCGTGTGGACGCGGCGGCAATCCCAGCGCGGGCGTTCAAGGTTCAAGGCCGCCAGTGGCCTTGAATCGGCCGACATCGAACGATCTGCGCTAAATATCCACGTGGTGCGGCGCCCTCGCGCATGAGGTTCGTCATCCAGTGACATTCCCCGAGATCCCACGTCACAAAAATCTGCAGCTCTTACATCAAAAATCGACCGGAGTCTTGGATCCCATTTTTTCTGCGGCATCCGGGGCCCGGGACAAAGCGAAACCACCCGTTGCGAAATATTGCGACGCCATGATGTCGAGGCCCCTTGAGCCGGTCCTCCTCCTGACGTTTTCCCTCAGGCCCCCGAGGGGTCCCCGTGGGGGCGCGCGCCCGTGGAGGTCTCCGCAGCGGTCGGGGTGTCAGTGTCTCCGTGGCGGTTTCCGCACGGAGGAAGAGGTAGCGGTACCGCTAATTGTTGCCCCGTTTTCGTTTTTTGTTGGGTTTCCTGGGAGGCCTTGGTCGCCACGTTTGGACGCACCTTGGGAGCGGTCTAGGGAGTAGTGATATCCGTGCCTGTTGGTTTCCCCATTCGCTCGGTTCGGCTCGTGCTGGCGTGACCCCGCCGAGGGCGATCAAGGTTGAACGCCGCCAGTGGCCCAGAGTCGGCCGATCTTGAACGATCTGGCTAGCGGAAAGCCGCCGATCGCTGAATTCCGAACGATCCATTCGGTTTCAGAAACCAGCGGCGGGGTCGTGCCGAAGACAAGAGCCTGCCTTAAGTAGTTGTTCTAATGCCATTTCGTCTTTGAGCCTTCTTGTGTACATTCGTCGCCACGCCTGGATTCGCCTCGGAATCCTGGTCAGAACGCAAGGGAGCAGTGGCATCAGTACGTTTTTGTCCACCAAGGCTGCGCACGCCTCGATTGGGAGGAATGTGTATGTCCGACGGTAAGGAAGACGCGCCTCCGGGCTGGCGCCAGCGCGTGGTAGAAACATGCCCGTGCCTCTTCGTTCCGTTCTCCGCGGGGGTTCTCTCTGTCTTACTCGCGCAGAGCCCCGAGGCGATGGCACGGTAGGTCTGCACCGTGTGGACGCGGCGGCGACTCCAGCGCGGGCGTTGGAGGTTGAACGCGGCCAGTGGCCTAGAATCGGTTGGCATCGAGCGATCCGCGCTGGCGGAAAGCCGCGATCATTCAAGCTTGAACGATCCACGCGGTGTCAGGAACCAACGTCAACTTCGAAACGCCGTTTGCCTGCCATGCTGCCATGGTTTCCTTCGTGCTCCCCCGTAGGATGCATCTCCTGGGGAGATGAAGTGAGCATCGGCGCTGACATATCCATGTTTTCAGTTCTGCTGGCGTCAGGATAATCCCGCTCAGTCCCGCTTAGTCTGGCCTAATCGGGCTTGCCCATTGACTGAATCTGGGCTGCTCTGGCTTCTAGGCCAGTTAATATGGCTTGACATGCCTTAGTCATTATTCCAGGAGTTGCTTCCCCCTTCCAAGCTCGTCCCCCTTGCCGTGCCCATTCTCGACGGCTCTTTTTCCTTTGGTTTGCGTGCCCCTCGTTCGCCCCCTCCCGTCCAGTGCGCCCTGCCCGGCCCCAGTCGGTGAGCCCTGAAGATTCTCAGCGCCTGGCGTGGGAGTTCTTCATCGGCTCCGAGGTCCGTCCGCACCTCCCCTGCTCTTCACCTGACATCCTCTCGCTGGGGAAAGCATGGCGAATCGCGGCGGAAGTTCTTTCGCCATTTTCCGCTTAGGGTGGCCCTCACGGGGCCCTGGGACCGTCGGAAAACTACGGACTCGGGGCGAAAAGCCCGTCCCAGGGAGGGGGTCCAGAGATCTGGTTCCAGAGTTCTGGGGAGTTGAGATTCCGAGCCTGCAGCCCGTGCCCGTGCCCCGTGCGCCGAAGACGAGATGACCAGTCCAGCAGCTGCCCCTCGAGAGCGTACATCGAAGCATTCGTGTGCGCGCGGCAAAGTGGATGTCTATGTCTGTCTGTCTGTCTGTCTCTCTCTCTCTCTCTTTCCCTCTCTCTCTCTCTTTCTATGTTTCTCTCTCTCTCTCTCTCTCTTTGTTCTTGTTTTTTGTTTTCTCTTTCTCTCTCTCTCTCTCCCCCTCTCTGCTGCCCGCCACACCCCCATCAAAAAGTGCTCGATGGGAGTGTGTGTGTGTGTGTGAGTGTGTGTGTGTGTGTGTGTTTTTGGTGATTCCAATTTCGTTTGTTCAGTTCTTGCATCGCCCGGGTTCTCGTGTTTGGATCTGCCTAATTATTCGCGTGGCTACCTCCGATTCTCGCACGTCTTCACAAGCAAGCCAATCCGAGGTATCTGCGGCCCGTTGCCTTGCCTACCACGCTTGGGATTCAGCCGCGCGTTGGAGGGACAGTACACATGTGCGCGTGTGTGTATGTGTGTAATTGTGTGCCCGACCTTTACATGTCCGCGCCGACTTGCGCGTGGCTGCGACGCCAACAGAATTTGTGTGTATGAGAGAGGGAGTGTGGTGTGTGTGTGTGTGGTCTGTGTATGCTGTGTGTACATGATGTGTGTATTGTGTGTTGTGTACATGTTGTGTGCGTGTGCGTGTGATGTGTGGGTGTGTGTGTGTGTGTGTGTTGGGTGTTGTGTGTTGTGTGCGTGTGCTTGTGAAGTTGTGTGTGTGGTTGCCCTGGGGCACCCCTGCGCCCACTTGCCCTCGTTGCCAACGCGTGGGTACGCGTATGGCATGGTCGATCTTGTGGGGTCCCTGCCCTGCCAGTCGCGCGCGCACTTTTTGCTTAGGGACTTTCTCCGCCTCGTCGATGCCCGCGAGGCCGCGAACGCAAAGAAAACGAATGTGTGTGCGTGTGTTCCGGTCTGTTTTTTTCGACTTACCCTGCCCCGCTGCGCCCCGCGAGGCCGCGACTGAAACAACAGATGCGCTTGCGTGCGTGTGTGAAAGACCCCCGTTTCCTCTCTTGGCCTCTGGGGCCGACCCTCACCAGCGGTGCAGCACTGTTTCGACGGCCCCCGTGGGCAACTTTGACCGCTTCTTCCACCTCCACGTGCTGTCCGGCGACGAGTACACCGCCAATTCCGGCTACTGCAACCCCACCGAAGCGGCGGTTGTGGAGCGGCTTATCGACACAGCCGTGCCGCTTATTGGCCGCGATCCCACAGTTGCGGTCTTCACTCCTTACAGCCTCCAAGCCACTGTGCTCAACGTGGGGTGGCCTATCAGCGGGGCCACCACGGGCTTGTGCGGGACCGGCCGGCGTCAGCCTTTCGGGCGCTCCATCGGCGGTTCGGAGCCGCCTGCCTCCGTCCCGGCTTTTCTCAATCGCTGTGACAGCGCCACAACGCCAATATTTATTCCATCGATCAGGTGCAGGGCGACGGGACCGGCCTCGTCATCAGATCGCGCGTGCGTTCCAGCGACGGATGCGTCCTGGGCCACGCCGAACTACGCCCGCCGCATCAACGTCGCACTCACGCGCGGTAAGAGCGCCTGCATCTTCATCATGAACGCTGGCATGGCTCAGGCGAGCGAGGACGCCAAGCTCCACGACTTTTGTAAGTTCACCTCTGGTGTCGGGTTGCTATTGCGCCGCGACAGCACAAGTGACACCAACGCAGCCCTGGGCGTCGCTTTGAGCGCGCCAGCCTCGAGGAGGCGGTTGGCAGCGCCCCCGCGCCCGCCAAGAGGGCGCATCGCGCGGAAGCCCGCGACGAGGCCGCCGCCGCGCAGCAGGAGAGGATTTTGCTGGTCTCCTTGCGCAGGCCCCCGTCTACCAGCTTTTGCCCTGCCCGCGTTTGCGAGGAGCTGGGCCAATGGTGGGCGAAGCTTGTGGCAAGTCCCGCTTTTCTACCTATCCTGGTCTTCGCCCTTCGCGCGCATCTGGAAAGCTCCAACTCCAGCAATCTTCCGCGCGGCCCCGCCGACGTTGATCGGAAAATGTGCTCCAGGCTCGCGCAGAATCCACGCCGGTCGCTCGGGTGCGACGCTGGCAGTGCGACGCTCACCTCTGAGTGGCATGGCTTCCTGCTTTTCTCCGGCCTGGGCCCAGGCCCCGAGCGGCAGGCGGCAGGTCTCTTGCGACCTCGCCAAGGCTCTCACCACCCCCGTTCGCGTCGGCAGCTGCGACCAGAGGGGCTGCAAGGCAGGGCTCCGCGACGGGCGGCGCATCGCGAAGTTCCTCGCCGAGGCGAGGCCACGTGCAACTGCCCGCTGCATCTAGGGGGTCCCCCTGCCGATCTCGCACAGCTTCTCCTCTACCCGTCGCTCCCCGCCGGGGCGCGCGGCGCCCTTTCGGACGCGCTCCGCCACGGCCGCCTTGCGCTGTGCCTGCCAGGGCTGGCTGCCCTGCTTGAGCTCGACGACTCCGCGCTCCCCGCCAGCGACTTCAGCAACTGCGGGGACTGCGTCGAGGCTTTCCTCGCCGCGCCCCACCGCGCCAGGGGCCCGGCCTTCCGCGAGCGGACTCTGGCTCGCTCTGCCGTCTCCTCCGACCGCGTCGCCGACGTGCGCGCCGAGATCGAGGTCCCTCCTCAGAGCGGTCGCCCGCCTCGTCACGCGCGCGCCCAGGGATAGGGAGGTGGCAGTGCTGGAGGCACGGGGCCAGCTCACCATCCAGAGCTGGCTCGCTTCCGCCCCCGCAGACCGCGCGCCCCTTGCCACTGCTCAGCACCTGCCACCTGCGATGTTGCCCGGACATGCCACCGTTGCGCCGCGTTCCTCTTGCCCGCCAAGATCATCCGATATTGGCTAATTATCTGTGGTAGCGCTGTAGACGCTCGTCGGATTTCGGTCGCGGCCGGATGCTGGATTTTTCGGTCGCGTCGGACAGTTTCGAATCGGTCCCAATTTGGGATTCGGAGGGTGGAACTCGGCAGCGGGGGCGCGAATTTCGGCATCGCATCCGATGCGAAAATTGGAACGGGAAAGCGACATTCGGTAGCGGGAACGGACATTTGCTAGCGGGACAACGATAAGCGAGAACGCGAATATTATCAGCAGCAGCATTATCATCACCGTCATCATCGCCATCACCGTCACCATCATCATCTCCAACCCAACCAGCAACATGTGCAGCATGCCGCTGGAGCCATGGTCATCACGAGCGCCATAATTAGTGTCGCAGTATTTCAGAATGCATAGTGTCATAATACATAATGATATTTGCATACTCGTGAAATGTTACCAGTGGCAGTCGCGAACACATGTTATCATGTTTTATTACCTAACATCGAAGACTGGTAGGTTTCTAGTAGTGTCAAAAGAGGTCACAGATCACTCCACAGGGGGGTCCGGGCAGGTGTTGGGAGTTGCCGGGCGGGCTGTGCCCACCTCGTTTTTCACCAACAGTCACACACTTCGTGCTCTTCGACTTCCCAGAACGCCATTCCCAGGCCACATTCTGGAGGGCCGGATGCAACTGTAGGCCACTTCGTGCTCTTCGAGATCCCAGAACGCCATTCCCGGGCCACATTCTGGAGGGCCGGATGCAACAGTCACACACTTCGTGCTCTTCGAGTTCCCAGAACTCCATTCCCGGGCCACATTCTGGAGGGCAGGATGCAACAGTCAAACACTTCGTGCTCTTCGAGTTCCCAGAATTCCATTCCCGGGCCACATTTTGGATGCCCGGAGCCAACTGTCGTCCACTTCCTGGTCTTCGAGTTCCCAGAACTCCATTCCCGGGCCACATTTTGAATAGCCAGACGCTTCATATTCCTTCCGCCACAGCCGTGTTTGGTTCAGGACTTGCTAGTGACACTGCAGTCCATTGCATTCAATCGTGCCTCGTCACTAGAGTTTCGATTGCAATGGCGTTCCCCTGGCCGTACCCCCATATCGAACGTTCATCCGCAGCCTCTGCTCCGCGAGGCTCGTCCGAAGTGTCGCCGCCTCGCGGTGCTTCTCAGCCTGCGGAGGAAGGTGGACAGACGCCTGGTTCTGGCGCTGCGCAGCCTGCGTCTTTCACGGTCGCCTCGTTCAATTTCGGGTTCGAGCAGGGCATGATGACTGGTAAGCAGGCGGCCACTCACTGCGCTAACTTCGGAAGGGTGTGCGCCACGATAGTGGAGACCGCTGATGCTGATATTGTCTGTGGCTGCGAGGTCGGTGCGTTCCGTGAAGGCTTTCGCCGAGCAGGGATCAACGTGACAGAGATCCTCAGTAAGCCTTTCGGTGATGGCATTGGCTTCTCGGAGGTCGACAACTACTTGACTCTCTGGGGCTTCCGCGGTGCTTCTCAGCCTGCGGAACTGACTCTGTGCGAAGACAGCAAAGTTTACAGGCCTCCTAGCGGCCGAGAGATTGATGCTGTTATTTCACATTTTGAGGTGAACAAACCAGGCCATGACAAGTTCCACGTGGTGATCGCCAACATGCACATCGTGTGCGGCAAGAAACCGCCGACCATCCAGACTCGAAAGCGGACAGTTCGCCATCTCCGCTTGCACCTGGACGGCATGGCTCAGATTCTCAATGCTTCGGAGCCGCACGTGCCAGTCGTTCTGCTTGTAGTCGGCGACGACAACCTGACTTTCCAGGAGGCGCGGGAGGCTTACCAGCGCCAGCAGAACGACGAGAAGCTCTGGGAGGTCCATGCCACTCCGGCCGACCTCAAAGGCGACCACGTCGCGGTCTGCGGAGCAGTCGCCCGTTTCTGCTCCATTGC